AACAGTTTTAGACTCTTTTGAAGTTAGCCAAATTGCATTGTGACAAGAGAAAATGCAGAGAACAGCCATAAACAAACAAAACCAATAACCTAAAATATTTAGTCTTTAATACAGAAGATTTTTTTTCTACATTTATTTCAAATTGAAATTATAGTTCTCTAATTAGTAATTAGTTGATAAATACAAGCCAGATAAATCAGCAGTGCTTTCATTTGCACCTCTTCTAGCCAGTGGGGAATTATCTATTAGAGAGCAGTGTAGGGGAAAGGGATCTGGGAGTGCTAGTGGACAGCAGGATGACCATGAGCCAGCACTGTGCCCTTGTGGCATCCTGGGGTGTATTAGAAGGGGTGTGGTTAATAAGTCGAGAGAGGTTCTCCTCCCCCTCTACTCTGCCCTGGTGAGGCCGAGTTTGTATGCTCAGGTTTTCTTTCCACCAAAGTGATGCCCAGATAAGGGAAGCTCATCCCAATTAACATGCAGAGGGGATGTGTGTCTGGACAAAGACAGAAAACCCAAATTCCTCTACATAGACCTTGCTGTAGACCAAGGGCCACTGAGTTGTTCAGAGCATGACAGAATCACAGAATCGTCTCAAATGGAAAAGACCTGTAAGATCTTTAAGTCCAATCATCAACCTCACACTGACAAGTCCACCACTAAGCCATGTCCCTAAGCACTATATTGACATGACTGTTAAATACCTCCAGGGACGGGGACTCCACCACTGCCCTGGCAACCCTTTCCAATGCCTGATAAACCTTTAAGTAAAGAAATTCTTCCTTATAACCCATCTAAACTTCCCTTGGTGAAACTTGAGGCCATTTCCTCTTGTCCTATCATTAGTTACTTGTTTGAACAGACCAACACCCACCTCTCTACAACCTACTTTCAAGTAGTCGTAGAGAGCAATAAGGTCTCCCCTCAGCCTCCCTTTCTCCAGGCTAAACAACCCCAGTTCCCTCAGCTGCTCCTCATAAGACCTGTGCTCTAGACCTTTCACTGGCTTCATTGCCCTTCTCTGAACACACTCCAGCACCTCCATGTCCTTCTTGTAGTAAGGGGCCCAAAACTGAACACAGTACTCAAGGTGCAACCTCGAGAATATATTTTTCATTTGTAATTCCAAGATATCCAACAGAGTTTTGGGGTTACATCTCAAATTTGACATAATTCTGAAGATGAAGTAGGATCTGGTTTAACAGACTTAAGAAACAAGACTACTACTTTTCTGTAGCTCCCCGAAATAAACTCTTCACCACCATCTACTTTGAGTAAAATATAATTTTATAGATAGCTGATAAATAAAATCTCTAAATAATAAATGCATTACTTTTTAAATAGTATCTGATTAGGACTGGAATTTTGAATTGGATTTTGATCATTTCTATATAACTGCAGAAGAGTGAATGTCAGTAGAGGGGTGACTCACTGACTCAACATTAATAAGAGCAGAAGGAACCACGGTGATCACCTAGTCTGACCTTTTCTTTGAACCACAGAACTGTCTGGAATTACTATATGAAGTGCCAGAAGTGTCCTACCTTGATTTTTCTGATCTGTGATAAAGAGTCCATTTTGGTCTCTGGAAACTTCTTCTAATGGTTAATTAATTCTTTCTGTTAAACTTTCGCCTTATGCCTACATTAAACTTTCCCAACTTCCTCTTCTAGTCAGTGGATCTTATCATCTGCTGGGCTGAAGGGTTCTTTATCAAGATCTGTGGACCTGCCTTGTTGCTATGAATCTATGTGGCTATGATGGCACTGCTGAGTGACCATGGTTACCATCACCTCATTATCACCATCTCTGCTTGTCCTTGCTCAGGTACTGTGAAGCTGTGCCTTTGCTGGTGAGGCCACTGTCCTGCCAGCCTTACTGTCACTCTGGCTCCCAGTTCACTTTCCCTGGGGAGCAGCCCACTCTTGCCGCACCCTGACAGAGCCTGAGCATCCTGAGGATAAGTCCCTTAAAAACAAGTTTTTGCTTTTCTGTCTGTGAAGGAAATTACAGCCCAACCTTCCAAGAGATATCCTGGACTGGGCTTTTTCTGAGTAGAGCACAGGTGGTGTGAGGAACATCAGGTTCATACTAATTCAAACAGCTGGAAAGTATGCCAGTTCTGAGATTTTATGAGATTAAGCCACTTCTGGGATTGCCAAATTATACACATACATAGTCAATAAGCCTTTTCTTCTCTGCTAATGAGCACAGATTTGAACAACTTGCTTTGAGTAAGAGTACTGGAGGATAAGAGTATGTTCTACGAAAACCATTAAGATTATGACAACTTAATGGTTTCATAAGAAAAGTTGAAAAAATCTAGGTGAATTTAAAGCACCTACACATACATAAAAGAAAAAAAATTGACTTGACAAAGAAAGTTAGACACAAGGAGACAATTTAGAGGCAGACAAAGCATTGTACCTTACATGACATATCAATGACAGTTTTCTGTCATGGGATCTAATTAATACTGCACATGAATTGTCACTAGAATCACCCACATCACAGTTCTGACTAATCTTATTTCTCATGACCATTCAATTTAAGTAATATAATTACTCACATACTGGAAAAAGTTGACTTCTGAGAATGTGCATTTCCAGTTCAATCACATTGCAAAACACTTTTTTAGCACTTTAGGCAGATGAGGTATTCCTAATCATGCATTCAGCTCAGTAACCTCCGTGCCTTGCAGTTATTACATGCCTCCCTTCCTTGTTAAAAAGAAAAAAGCCACTTGAAAACTTCTTCTCCCCATAACCATTAGCTTAATTCTAGTAAAACATCACTTCCGTAGTTTAAAATCTTACTGTCTTGAATCTCTCTTGATTTAATCCAGTGCATAAAATACACTCATAAAATGGGAGCAACAGAATTACTGTCATGGAGCTACAATGTGGCACGAGTTTCTTCCCTGATCGCTATCCAATATCTTTAAGGAGAATACTTGGACATTAGGGCTTGGTACAATGAGACTTGTATGTGCTATGTGACTCCTTCATGTTTCTTTAAGAGTCATACTCCAAATGCATGTCAGCTAACACAACAGAACTATCTTAGGAGCACTATAATGAGCTGCTGGTAAAGATCAATAGCAGATTATTGTCCATAATTCCCAAGATGAGAGAAAGAACATAATCAGTCCATGCTGAAACATACAGTTTACAAAGTAAATTAGCCAGGAGATTCTCCTGAAGGCAAATCCTGTAGCAGAAAATTGATTTCTTATTAGTTTTGCATCACTGTGCTTTCACTACTGAAACAAAATAAAGCAGTAGATAACCAAAAGTCCCTAAACACAAATATTTTTTGAGTCACTACTTTTTCTACAGATACCAGCATTAGATTGTACAATTCAGTTTTAGGTATTGGGGATAAGTAGCACACAGCTTGTGAGTCAGCACCCCAGAGAGCAATCAAAAGGAATCCTCTTTTTTCTTAAAAAGTGCAGTCAGATGGCTGACCCACTAGTTCATATCTGGAGTGTGGTCTCAAAGTCATCACCCGCCTCAAAGTCACCCACCTGGCTTGGTTTGCAGAGTAGTGCAGTCTTAGAGTGCACAAACTGGATGCCTTTTAGATTAAGTCAACCCTGAAGTAGCACTTCAGGAGTCCACCAAACGCTGCCAGCCACTAACAGGCACTCTGCCCAAACAGAACCTTCCCAAAATGCATTCCTTAGGGCTGTAGGATCCCCTACATCAGCTGTTTTCCCCTACAGAGCCATTCCTATTGGACCACATTGCATGTTAATGAAGACATAGCCTTCGATAGTGCATTCAAGATTTAAGGAAGGGAAGGATCAGGTTTTATGTAAATAACTAAAAATTCATTCAAGATTAAAAGAACATTGGAAAATAAAGGAACGTCCTTTTTGGAAAAAAAAAAAAATCAGTTAACTGATAACTCTTAGATTACAACCAGTAATAAAGACAAAACTATCATCTTCAAAATTTTTACGCAGTTAAGTTCACCTTCTCCAATGTCTTTAGGCTCTGCAAACTCCTAGTGAAATCAACAGAGCTGTGTATGTGAATACATATTTAAATGTGTAGTTAGGAATGCTTAATCTTACAGACATTAATCAGAGGCTAAGTTCATGAACTAGGTCCACAGAAAGATTTTTCTGATAAAGCTATAAACTTGATGTCACAGTGTTTAAATGTGCCTTTAAATATGTAAGACACAGCTCATTGTTCATCGTAGGGAATTTTTGTTAAACTTAGTGGGCTATTCTTTTGTGCAAAACTAATTCACAATTTTTTTATTAATTTTTTTTTTAAATAGACACTGGTCTAGACATCTGAACCCTTCATGCAAAATTTAAATTTTTAATTGACTTCCAAAGATGCATTATGTAAATAAGTACTATACAACCCAGCCTTTGTTGGCTGTGGCTTTGGTAGTACATAAATGCACTAAAGACTGTTCTTTGGATCTATCAGCCTACCCTACAGAAAAGGATCGTTACCCCAGATTACACACTGGGAACAGATCCCTTGCCCATGCTAACTGTTGAAGTGCTCAGGGAAGTTGTTTGTGAGAATGGTAGCTAACAGAGGCCAGTGAAATGGCCAGGACCATTCTCACAGTTTAACATAGCTGGTCAAATTTGCATATCTTGAGTTTTTAAATTTACTAGTAAAAGCATAGCCATATCCATAGCCTGATTGGTAGGTCCCAAAATAGCAGAGGTCCAGGCATTTCCCAGTAACAAAACAGACTTTGAGATGTTGCCATATGTGGCAATTCCTGCAGGATACTTTTTTCCCTTTTTACAGTAAATTTATTTGCAGAAATTCAGATTAGTGAAGGCTTTGATCTTCAGTGGAAAGTGGTTGACCCAGAAAAATGGTTGGAATTATAATCCTCAACAGTTAGTTCCTACAGCTTACATTCTGCAATATCCCCCAGAGAAATGTCAGAATATGTACATAAAGTTAAATGGTCTCAAATACAAAATGCAATTCCCATGTCTTTGAGCAAACACTAACCTTCTGTTCCATAAGTAATGTGTTTGTAGGGATTGCTGCAAATGCCTTGTAGCTTGTCTTGATCTTGTACTGCTAAAAGGGTAAACCAGAAAGCAGGAAGAGAAGTAAAACAGGGTGGAAGAGAGGGAGGGAGAGAGAAGGAAGAGAGGGGAAAGGTATGACAGAATGAAAGACAATTCCAATTGTCTTGCAGACACGTGACAACAAAACAATTCTTATGTATTACCTAGAAAAGCTATTTCTTAAAGAAAATCTAGTGTTTCTGTTAAGATGTTAAAGGACTGTAACATACATCTTTTGCTTTTAGGAATGAAGCAGGACAAAATTAATTCCCTGTACCAGGTTATAACTTCCAAAATTATTTTGACCACTTTCTGCTGACTACTGTCCTTAAATGAATATCAGGAGAAGCTGTGAGTTTTTTCCAGGTTTGCTTGTGATGTGATTTGATAACGCATAGCTACTTCTGCCAATACATGCACCTCAGCAACCACTGCTGGTATGATCCTGGACCACTAAGTCAGAGGCATTTCTGTGATTTGTTTTAATGGGACTGATTAAGATCTTTAAATGCTGAATTATTTGCCTGAGTGGATAGATAATTTCAGTCATGTCACAGCTTTTCAACTCCCCAATAAGTAACTTTACCACCCAAACAAATATTTCAAAACAAGTATAGGAACTTTCACACTCTAACCAAGCATACAGAACTGACAACCTAAATCATAAAATATACATGACTTTAGGTACAATAGTTCTAAGATCAGTCTTAAAAATATTTTTTTAAAACAATTTATATTTTAGAGTATATTAACTTGCCCATTTATTTTTAACTACATTTAATTTGCAATTATGGACATTGAATTCTGTAATTTTTAAATTACTGACGAAATGCTTCTATACTTACTTGAGTTCAAGAGCTACTATTCTTAATCAAATGACTGCTGGAATTTTTAATTTTTTTTAACAATTAATAGGAAATTGGTACACTGTTCCCTTTTCAATAACATTCTAATAAAAAATCATAAATTCACACAATATGAGAGTTTTAAGTTATTGATTTATTATCTCTGTGAGGGTCACCCAAAATAAAGTTACTTGTTAATTAGTTCAGGTTTTTTAACATACTGTTGTCTGCAACAGTAAATACTGGTGATTATGAGACAACAGGCTGAGCAGCATGCTGTATTTTGGGACATTCTTTTGTCACTTTTTTCTTTTTTTATATCTAATAAAAGCCTCTATGACAGTAGAGGAGACAAAATTTTAATTCAGATAAGAGAAACTTATATCAATCTCACATCTCTCTTGAAATATTGTAGGACCCCGTATTTTAATTCTTTCTATACATCATGTTATGTTTGCTTTTCGCTTTACTTATGTTTCTTAGTCAGAAGCTGTAGACTGACAGACATTCAGTTAATAATCACAATCATAGCATCACAGAATCATAGAATCATAGAATCATAGAATGGTTTGGGTTGGAAAGGACCTTAAAGATCATCTAGTTCCAACCTCTCCCTGACATGTGTAGGGCCAACTTCCTGATACAGGATACGGGATACAGAATTATCCTACAGGATAATTTGTCTCATTGCAAAATAGGCACCTAGAAAACTAAAATAAAGTAATCCTATAAATACATCATATTTTCTCCCTTAGCTATAATAGAATTGCCAAAGTTGTGCTTGGTTATCTGAATTTCAAATGTCAACAGTCGCGTGATTTGAAACCTGCCCTTTGAACATTTAGACAGCAACACTCTGCTCTAAATGTTTGTAAGTTCATATATATATTTATATATATACAAAATACATATCATAGAATCATAGACTAGTTTGGGTTGGATCGTCTAGTTCCACCCCCCCTGCCATGGCAGGGACACCTTCCACTAGACCAGGTTGCTCAAAGCCTCATCCACCCTTGAACACATCCAGGGAGGGGGCATCCACAACTTCTCTGGGCAACCTGTTCCAGTATCTGACCACCCTCACAGTGAATTTCTCACTAATATCTGATCTAAACCTCCTCTCTTCCAGTTTAAAGCCATTACCCCTCGTTCTATCACTACCTGTCCCTGTAAAAAGTCCCTCCCCAGCTTTCTTGTAGGCCCCTTCAGGTACTGGAAGGCCGCTATAAGGTCTCCCTCGAACCTCTCTTCTCCAGGCTGAACAGCCCCAACTCTCTCAGCCTGTCCTCGTAGAAGAGGTGTTTCAGCCCTCGGATCACCCTCATGGTCCTCCTCTGGACTCACTCCAGTAGGTTCATGTCCTGCTTATGTTGGAGGTCCCCAGAACTGGACACAGTACTCAGCCTGGGAAGTTTTAGGGAAAATGTCTTACTTTTCTTGCTGAAATGATCACCTAGGCCACACACAGGGCAATGCAAAGAGTTGTAGACACATACCTATAAAAGCTTAAAATGAGCAACTAACCATGATAGTGCAGAACTCCTCATAAGTAATCTTTCCTGCCTTGTAGCAGGTTTTGCAGCTGTGCTGAGCTCTGTGTTGCTACAGTTAGTTTGTTCCCCAGCTGTTTGGGTTAGATCCACATGCATTCCTGTGCTACATTCAAATAGGAAAAATCAAAGCATACGTAGGAATGCTACCCCATGAAACCACTGCAAAGCATTTTCAAACAACAGTCAGAAGTTTTTGTTCTAATTGTTCCTGCAGAATCAGCAGTTTTGTCTGTCTCTGCTCAATTCTACTGTTCATTCTGCTATATTAGGTCCATGAGGACCCAATATATCTTCAAAGCCCAGGGAGAGGGTTTTTATTTCCTTAGGTCAGCCACAGTTCACACTGACCTCTGGATTTATGTTTACATTCACTTTGCAAAACAGTGATATTTGTAAATCATTGGTCACCATAAAGATAAATATATAAAGCACAGGGAAGCACATGTATTTATATATACAAATGCAAACAGTTAAATAAGTTCATCAGTTATTCTTTGATTTGCACTAATTGGTGCATGCATAGGCATAGACATATAAAAGCTCTCCATTAAAGAGTTCTTTTTGCATAATTGCTTTGATATCATGCTAATGAAACAGTTTGATGTGCATACTGAAAAATACATCTAATGGTAAAATTCTGGCTAATAGGTGTTGGTTTAATATACGTCTTCAACAGAGGTTGAAGCAACATTAAAGTTGCAAAATCACACATGCCAAAGTCAAGCACTTCTAGATGCCGTGCTTTTCCCTTTATATTCACTCAGCACATTCATACATGCAAATGTTTTGTCATGCACCAACAGTCATCAGATGGAGCAACCTGTTTTTTGTCTAGTTCTCAAGTTGAGCTGATTGGTACTAGAGAGACTTAAATGCTGCTTAGGATATTAATGTGGTCTCTCCTCAATCTTTTGCATTTTTCCCTGAATATATACTGAGATTTGAGGCTGGAGTGTTATCAGAGAGCCTGGTACCATTAACACATCAGCAAAGTTCATTGAGCTATGCCAGAAACTAGGTATAGAAATAAAGAAGAGCAGGAGGAAGAGAGGATGATGAATGCACACTATTATTGACTGTAAATGAAGTCTCAGTCTCACATTTTAAAGCTACAAGAGACCTTTCCTGCACTGAACACCCAGCTGCATTCAATTTAGACATTTCAGATTTTCCACATCCCCAGTGGAGTCAGTTTTGTCTGCATGATTAAAAATTGCACCAAACTAAGGGTCCAAGTCTGTTAAACTGGTGGACAGTCTCCCAGTCTCAATCAGGTAGTGGGGCAGATTCAAAAGTGCCACCGTATCATATAAAAAAGCAGAACTAGCAGGAAAAGGGACAATAGGGAAGACAAAAAGGTTGTAGTAACCTCTGTAAATATAAACCCCAGCTGTGTCAAAAACAGAGAATTTCCTTACTGACAGAGATTCTCACAGTGCTCATTGCACTGACCAGCAGAAACCACAACTGCTTTGCAATCTACAGGCTCAGTCATGCCTCCCAATTTAGTCTCAAGGGGGTTTTTTCATGAAATTTCTACAATTTCATTTCTCTTTTTATTTCATTAAGTAATACTGACAGGGTATAACAACACTGTACAGCTGTGCTTGGCACAATGTTTCCTTTTGGGTTGTTCAGTTTTGAAAAAGAGCCATTCATGACAATTGTTACTTTGTGCTAATTTAAACCTCTCATTTTCAATTAACATTTTCCAATCAGTTCAAGTCACCCCTACCATGGCCAAGCTGTTAGCAACACATCTGACACAACCTGATCTGGCAGACCAGGCTGTAATTTTGTGCTGTGATTGGAAAAATCAATAAACTATGATAGCCTTTCTGTGATAGGCAGAGCTCAGATATCAGCAAGAAGAGGCAGAAAGAAAGCATGGAGTGCAGAGATAAGATAAGATAAAAGAGGCTGGAAAGCCTTCTGCAACTCTGACGTCTTCTGCCACCAGCTCTTCTTTTTTGCACAGCAGTTCCTTTTGTTTTCATCTACCTGCTTCATGTTTTGGGGTTTGGTTTACTTTGGTTGGTTGGTTGGTTTGCTTTTTTTTTTTTAATCAGCTTTCCTTTCCTTCCCCTTCCTATTCTTGAGATTTATCTTTAGGTTCAAAGTGTGACTGGCTCCCAAGCCCTCCTGCAGCAATCACCATCATTGCTTATTCTCACTCTGCTGGGACTCTCCAGCCTTTGGGTGGATAACAAACAGCGGGAACGTGGCTGACATGTTGAGTGTGAGACTTTTGTATTTGCAGTAGCCTGTGTTGTAGGAAGCTTGGCTTTTTTTCCCTCACCCTCTGTCTAGCACAACAAGGTGAGAGAAGTACCAAAAAAAAGGAAGAAGCAGGAGACTGTCCTTGTCTTCCCTCTCTGGCTCTTGGCCCCATAGTCCTTGCTCAGGCTGAGCTCAGTCATGCCTCTGGGCTGGACCCAGAGAGGCGCAGAACATCTGGGGTCAGTACAGCTTCCTGGGGAGCAGGGAGAACAGGTGAGATGGGGCGCTTGGGAATCGGTTGTCACCAGAACAGACAGTTCACATCAACGAGATTAAGCTGCTTTGAGCTCAGCCTTGCATCTAAGAACGCCTTACTTCTATTACTTTCAGTGAGAATACATTCGCATGGGGTGTATCCAAGGTGTTTTATGGTTTATTTTTGACACACTAATGTTTAAAGTGAGCCTCAAAAATAAGTGCACCAAATGTATATCAGAGGCAGTAGACATAAATCCATCTTCAGTAGTATTGCTTCCCACTCATGAATAAAGTATTTTATTTTTATGCTAAACGATTCCTACAGCATCTCTCCCCATAATACAGAACAAACTGCTAGCAATTCAATATGGTAGGATTAGTCTTTGCTACCTTCACTATCGATACAAAACCAGTCTGTTTTTAAACATTTTTTCCACAGCTTATTTATTTTACCAGCATTTTGCAACACAGATGTGATTTTTTCCTACAGGGACAAAAAACTATTAGAAAATAAGCATGCACCAAGAGTACCTTGGGTTTGAAGTTTTCATGGTCAGAAGGCAGGGAAAAAGATTGTGATGAAGTCAGCTCTCTGGGTCTTGATGACAGTGTGCCTGGTGACTTGTCTGAGACAGGAGATCTGCATTTTAACACTGGTGAGGTGACAGATTGCTCAGGTCTTGGAGAAGAGGAATTAGACCTATAATTTGTGTGCACCCATGAAGAATTAAGCTGCAGTGGATGGGAACTAATATTACCAGTTTGTGGAGCCGGTGGAGTAGAATGAGGCCGTGAGAGAGACCATTGCTTTGAGATACTTGAAGGGGTAAGAGAGGAGGCACTCATCTCCTGAACACATGTTTGGGATGAATCTGATTTAGATTTAGAAGCAGAATGAAAAAGAGCTGGGGAAGGAGATAAGTGTTTTTCTAGGGTGGGGGAGAATACACCACTAAGGCTGCTAGAAGAAAGCAAAGGATATGACCGGCAGGTAAAGATGGGTGAGTAAGTGTGTACTCTCTGAGACTTCAGAGGTGCCTGGGACCTGGAGGCAGCATACTGCAGCCCTTCTCCAGGAGAAAGAGAGGCAGGGTGTGTAAGGGAAGAGGGTGCCGGGGCAGAAGGAGAGGGCAACGAAGGCTGCAAATCTGGAGTGGCAACCAGTTTTCTGCGAAAGGAGACAGGGGATGATAGAGGACTTTGGGACTCTGGAGAAAATGTTCCAACTGGAAGGTGCTTTTTAGGAGAAATGGACCTTGCCCTAGGGGTGGGATGAGGCTTGGAGGGCAAAGGCAGATGCCGAGCCCATCCTGAAAGCCAATATTCCTCTCTGCTGGGTGAATCTGTCCTTATAGGAGGGCTTGAAACATATTTTTGGGGGGTTGGGGGAGTTGTTTTGGACTTTTGATCTATTGCGAGTATTGAGGAACCAAGGGAGCTAGGAGAAAATGTGGGACAAGAAGCAGGGGAAAGTGATCTCTGCTGAGAAGAGCCTGATCTCAAAATAGCAGTTAAGAGGGTCAGTCTGGTTGGCAGAGGGGATCTGACTCCTGACCCTGCTAAATTTCCTCTAGATGACATTTGTGTGCAAGGCTCATTTATGCTACAAATGGTTGAAGAAGAGCTGTAAAAAGAGGGTGGAGACAAAGGTTTAGGACTAGGAGACAATGAATGTGTTATTAAATGTACAGGGACAGGAGACAAAGCATTCAATCTTTTGGAAGAACTAGGGGATAAAGGCTGAGCTGAAGATCCTTGAATTTCAGCTGAACATGGGGGATTGGGGAAAAGACTTGGGCTCTTTGATGGAACAGATGATCTGGTAAAGTTTTCCATTTTGCAAACACAGCCAGAGGTACAGAGACTTGATGTTTGTAGGTTATCATACAGTCGAGGAGTAGAGCAATAACTATTTGACGCAGAAGAGGATATTTTAGACATGGAGGGGAGTGAACTATGTGAAGCAGACTGAAAGTAGAGAGATGAATCTTGCTTAGAAAACCCAGTTGCTGACTGCCAGTTGTTACAGAAGTCTTCCAGCGAAGAAGCTTGATTCAGGTTAACCATGGTACCACACACAACTTTCTGATTAGTTGGAGAAATTAAGTGGACAGCAGGTGGTTTAGAGGAAAGATGATCAGAGGTGGAAAGAGTAGAAATTAACTGGAGAAAAAAGAAAAACAGAAATGTTAATATAGGTGGAACCTGTGGAACTGTTAAGTATGTCACATTTCAGTCCTGTGGTCATGCATATAGTGTTTCTATTAGTACCTCTCTGCAAGTTAAAAGCACAGAGCTGTCTTAAACTTGAGGATACAACCTGATGGATACAGCTCTCAGGGAGGTGACTGAGTGCAGACAAGTTACGTGTTACTTTATTTTGATGGGACCTCAATTTTGTTGACATAAACAAGGTTCAAGGCTACTGTATTTTTCATTTAGATAAAACCCAAGACAGTTATGCCATCAGTGTCCAGAATCATGATGTCATTCGCATTGTGCAAACACAATGGAAAGTGAGAATACTGCGATATTGTCCCATCTCACTTTACCAGTTCAGTGGAAAGCAGCCTTTCTGTAAATGAGATTCAACTCAAGTACTCCTTTTCTTGTTCAGTAAACAACACCTTCTGCAGCACTGTGATATCAGAACAAGAAATTTGCTCAGAACTACTTAAATTAGACATCCAGTTTGGTTTTCACTTTTCTTGTCATTCACGGAGCAGTGGATTTGACAGTTTGCAGGCATGTAAGAGTCCTTATCCCCTTCTCCACAATCTTACAATACACTAATAAAACAGTAATGAGCTCTTTCATGGGTGCCTTTTTTCTTAAGTCTATTCTAATTAGGATTTGTCAAAACTAATGAGAGCATACAAGTATATTATCAACCTTTTATACTGTTTTATGCTTCTAAAGAAAGAAACTCTCTCAAAATCTTCCAAGTTATTATAATGCTGAAATTAAAACCTGGGGTATACACAATATGAATAAAACATATCAGCATGAAATAGTGAGCTAAGTCAACAGTAAAACCAAACTGCTACAGATTATCCCCTAACATTTGACTGAGCAATTTTAAAGCAGGGAAAGTGACCCTAATCTCTACAAATTTCATATAAATATAAGAACATGTATTTATCTGTTGTCTGATACTCTGAAAATATTATGCAATTCTATAAAAGACAATTATAACATCCAGTTTCTACGTATACACTAGCACACGGTTTTGGCTTATGAATTCTAATTTTTAACACAATATCTTCCCCATAAGAGAGAGTTATTGTTAGTATTATTATTATTAAATATAGTATTGATACATCACAAAACAAAAATAAGTACAAAATATAATTTTCAAGTGAGGCCATATACTAGAAGAAGCTTTGACAGGAAAGCAAGACTTACAGGCTTTAAAATGTTAAACTATACCTAAAATGCTAAATATGACCTAAATATGCACAGCAGAAACCTATTAGCCTTTGATCTCTTCCTGCTAAATGATACCAAACAAAAAGCAAGCCTTGTAAACTGAAGATACCTTCTGAATAGATACCTTCAGAATGCCTTGATATATAGAAATAAACACCAACCATCAGAATTCTTTCACAACCACACTAAACTCCCCCTTATTTTATATGTGTGTTAAGGCATCCCATTTCAAGTGGAAAGGCAATGCATGTATACAGTGCAAACATTAGAATACAAAATGAATGTCCATGATACCATTGTACTAAATATTCTATTGAATTAAGAAATTATGATTCTTGTTGAAAAAGCTGGTAATTAAGAATAAGAAAATATACTAGAAATTGAAAGAGTAATTTACAAATATTTAAGCATTATGAAAAACTGTTATTAAATATGTCATGAAACAGAAAAATATTTAACAAGTTATAAAGCAGCATGGCAGTACCTCTGACAATTTGAAGCAGCCTGATGAATTTAATAATGAGTTCTAGAAGGTGATCAACTACCAAGATGAAACTGGGGAATTAAATCTCTATATTTCAAAATAGAATAGATAAATTTCCCTTACAAAGACAAGAGATTAAAATAAAATGATGAACTAATATGAAGCTCCATAATGAAAGAGTAGAATTTGCAATGACTTCTAATTAGTTAAAACTTAATAAGAAAGATTTAAAAGCAGCTAGGAAAATGTTCATGGTAGCAGATGATAAATATGCCCCTGCAAGTACGATAAAGACATTTTGCCATAGTCTTCTTCCAGTCTGAACACCACTGAACATTTATGTGCTGAGCTAATTGAGCCATTATTCAAGTCTTCTGAAAATATTTTCCTATTGTGGCACAATGTTAACTACATCTATAGATTGTCACCCTCTTATTTACAGGATCAGAGAATCATATTGAAGTTGGTTGGAAGTGACTTCTCGAGGTCATCTAGTCCAGTCTCCTACTCCAAGCAGGGCTCTCAGCCACACCAGTGGGTCAGGTCAGCTGTGGTCGTGTCTCACCAAGTCTCTAAAGCCCCTAATGAAGGAAGCTCCAGCATCCCTGAGCAGCCTGTGTCTGTGATGCACCACCTTCCAGTGAGGAAGCTTCTCCAGATGTTCAGCTGGGACCTTCCATGCTTCAATTTGTGGCCATTGCTATCTCACCTGCCCCTGCAGAGAAGAGTTTGGCTCTGTCATCTCTGGAACTGCCCTTCAAGTAGTTGTGGGCTGTTCCTAGATACCTCCTTGACTGTTGCTTTGCTGGAGTCAACAAAGCCAGCTCCCTCCACCTCAGCTCACATGTGCCCTGGCCAACTTAATAGCTTTGTGCTGGACCTCCACTCCCTTCTTTACATCTCTTTTGAGATGGGGGTGAGGAGACACCAAACTGAGCATGATTTTACAGGTGCAGCCTCACCAGTGCCAGCAGATGAGATATGACAACTTCCTTCAATCAAGGGGATTTCTCTACTGGTTTAAAACACTTGTGTAGTGGCACTGGATTAGTGCAGAGGGAGTCAGTTACTGAAGTAGATTTGTGTTCCTTTGGTCTGTGATTCTAATGCAAGCCATTTTCTCCTCTCTTTGTCCAGGAGACCTTCAGCACATTTGAAATGGCAGAACTGGCAAGTGACAAGTGGTCTTTCTGGTGAGATCCCATTGTTTGTGAAAGGCACAAAAATTATAATTTCTTATGACAGCAAGGCCCTGATAGATGTGTTGGTCAAACAGGAAAAGGGAAAGACGGTGACAAATGGAGAGCTCAAAAGGCAAAAATCATATCAGAGAGGGTGTGGCTTGATGTACACCTGGTCTTGGAGCCAGTTAGCCATACTTTGATCTCAGCAGAATTTGATTATAGATAGGAAAAAATAAAGTAAATTCTCTACCACAGCTGTGAGGAACTGCACTATGGACTTGTCTCAAAGATTGTTTGCACAAGACCACCAGGTACCTTTGAGCCACGGGGTGATGTGAGGAACTGCACTATGGACTTGTCTCAAAGATTGTTTGCACAAGACCACCAGATATCTTGGAGCCACAGGGTGATAGACTTATCTCAAATATTGTTTGCAAGCATGGCCACAAGACCACCGGGTTCTGGGAACCCCAATCTGTGAAGGCGCCCTGCCCGCAGGGGGGTTCTTCCTGGACATGTCCTTGCCCAAGTGCTGGGGGGGCATGAAGAGACGTGCCATTGCTATGGAACTACAGCCCTCGAGGGGGTATTTAAGGAGGACCAGCACTGGCAAGAGGGCAAGCCAGCTGCTGGCGGCAGAGAGACAGGAGAGAGACCGAGGACAACCACCTCACCGCACCGCACCTCGCCACGCCGCATCACCACTGGAACAAGTAACTGAGACCTCCTCGCCCACCCCTCACCGTCGCCTCGCCGCTGGACCCGTGGTGGTGACTATTCTTGCTGCCCTATCCTGACTCCTTGCTTGATTTCCATCTTTCGTTCCATCTTGTCCTATCGCTATTCTCTTTATTACTCTTCTTTTTCTAATAAAATATGTTCTGGCAGTACGGCATGTGACCTCGTTTGTGTCTTAATCTCGCCCTTGGGATCGTATCGAAACCTTCCCCGACATCGGATCGGGATATTTAAGTGATCCCCGACATCGGATCGGGACAACAACCTGTAATCTGAAAGCCAGAAAGAAGCACTGGAGACTGTGGAAAATGTGATAAAATCTCTGGAGACAGCACAGTAAATCAGCCTGTGAGCTGGGACCCAATTAATAGAGATGCCATTCAGAACAGACCAGTTTCTCCCAACAAGGAAAGTGTATTATTGCATTCTTCCTGGTGATGGCAGGAGTTTGTAGGGACTGACTGATTTGTCTAGAAAAGCCAAACCAGATGACAAGCACTGGACAGAAGAATGCCAAGTGACTTTGACTAGCTAAAAAAGCGTTCTGGCTATTGATCTCCCACAGTGAGTCAAGAAGTTTCTCCAAGCTAAGTTAATGTCCTGGCATTCAGGGGAGCAGACACATTCCCTCTCACCCCAAAGGGTGCCAATATGTAGCGAACTATCACCAAAAAGTTCTAAATATGACCAGAATAACTGATTTTTTTAAAAAAAATATATTTTTCAGACTTTGAGTCATGGCATTTTCCAACACCAGTCAGGACCTTTACACCTCAAAGAAAAACAGAAGCTTCCATTTTTAAAATGTTTTTTCTTTTTGTTTTTGTTTCTTTCATTTAAACAAAGTCAGAAACAAATAAATCTGTAGGAGACCTCTGGTTCAGTTAGTGTGATCCTCTGTACAACACAATAGTCCCCAATGCTGGTTCTTGTTTTTCTCATCTCTGACAGGAGACCCATAGTCCAATTATGCTTTTAAATGAACATGAAGTTATATGTAATAACTCTTCAGTGGGACATGATAATGTCATTATAATCCTAGAACTGATAAGGAAGACCATATATGGAATCTGTTGTACAGAGGTAATCTACCAACAGATAAATAATGCATCTATTTAATAATTTCATCATTTCCCTTCATTTCTGAACTGATGTTACTTCATCAGATAGCAAGCCAGAAAGAGCGATGCCCAAGGAAACACCAAAAAAGAATCAGAACATCAGTGAAAAGGAACATAGTAAAAAACATCTTATGAAGAGACAGAGACAGTTAGAAGATATTTGGCAATAGAGATATTTAAAAAATGAAGAGTGAAGAAGTACTTACAGTCTTGAAAGGCTGTGACTTAAGAATAATGACGGGACACACATTACCTGTACTACATACTACCTCTCTTCGTATTCAGTGAATAGCCAGTAAACTTAAGCTTTATTTCCTTGTTCTATGCAATCTGTGTTTTCTGTTACTTTACGAGGCAAATCTCTGTTTACTGATCAAGTCATCAAAAGCTTAGGAAAGCTACAGTATGTGGATTTTGCTTCATAGTCTTACAAAAAACCTACCCAATTTTTGTAACAGCTTTTAAAGAAACCACCCAAGTAAGCCTGGCAGAATCTGCATACTTAACATTGCTAAAGCAAATTTGTATTCCCTAGGACAGTCATTCTCTTACAAGCTGCTTCTCCTACATAGATCTATCTATGCCTTTACACCTTCCTCAGGTAAAATTCTCACTGACTTCACTGAGAGTTTCTCAGAAAAAATTAATATTTCATGATGCTGTAAATCCCAAACCAGACTGGATTTCTTATTCACAATTTCCTCAAACATTGACACTGAATTTGATGAAAAAATAAGTAGCAGAAGTATTTCAACACAAGATAGGAAGTCCTATTCATTTTCAGAGACAAAGTAGTCACGCTTAACTTTTTAAAAATTATTGAGGAAGAATGGCATTTTCAACCGATGGAAACTGTTGAGGTCAAAGGAAATGTCTGAATTAATTCCATGTGAGAAGGATGTTGCTATTTAACTAAAGGTAGAGTCTTCCACTGCATATACATCCTTGAAAACTACCAGTGCTCTTTCCAAGATGACAGATAATTAACTTCTCATGCAGTAAATTGGATTGACATGTTTTGAAAATGAAACATTTCAAAGACCCTTTCTCAAATTCTGTCATTGGCAATTTAAAATTTCAATAAATCAACAAATGTGCCCTATAAAAATAAAATAGACATTTCAACTTCATTAGTTCTTTACATCTGTGCAAAGTCAGTGCTAACAATCAGAATAATAAGATTTCTACAGCTTCTTTCTCTAGCATAAAGGGCTGCAGCGGGTGCTGAGAAAAAAACAGGCCTGGGAAGTCTGATGCTAATAATTCAAATTATCTACAGGCTCCATTGATTTCAATGATCTTAGCCAATTTAGCCTAGCTAGGAATCTAACACCTTCTGATTAACTTGCTGTCATGATGACCTGCTCTTAAAGGAAAGAACAATAAACTTGCATTACCTGCTTCATTTATACACCAGAGTCATAGGGAGAGGCAGTAAGTTAAAGGGGTTGGGACAACGTCTTAGAGTCCAAATGCCACAGGAATGGCCAACAAAAATACTAATTAAAGAATAAATTTGCCAAACTGCTTTACAAACTGACTCAGTGGCCACGTCCTGAAAGCTTTAGAAAGCAAAGGTTAAGTCTAGAGTTTAAAGAGCAGTTTACCTGATGTTTTTTCAGATCAGTAGTGCCGTGGGAAAGTGCAGCACCTGCAATGTGCCCATCACCAGGTTTCCCTGCCCCAGAGCCAGGAGAAACATGGGACGTGGACAGTAGTTGAGCGCTGATGGCACCGTAGCCATTGGAAGGCCGATGAACATTGTTTGAGGCAGCAGCTACTTCATCTTCATCACCGGAGTCCGTAATCAGGATAAACTCAGCCTTAAAAAGGTCATTCTCCTGCATTTCTCCTTTGCTCGAGTTACACCCTGGGGACTGGAAAGCCGTTCTGGTGCTGTCAGTACAGATGGTAGACACGCAGTCTTGTCTGGCCTTGCTCTTTAAGGCCAGCTCATCAGAGACTGCATTAGACTGCAAAAGATACAAGGCAAGAGACCCCAATTAGCTGCATTTTATTTGTGTTCCCCAAAATGCAAAGTAATTTTGGCTTGCAGCAGTAGCTGGCACTGCACTACCAGAAGTGCAGAAGGCAAATGAAGAATTTAGGTATGAGCACCCAAGAGAAACTAGCTCCCCTGGGAACCCCCCTCTTCCAATCCCCCAGCCAATACTATGGGGGCTCCCTTCCCAGAAACTCACAGAGCAACAGGGGACTCTGAGCACAATGATAGCCCGAGACCGGGGCTGGTGCGGGAACCAAAAAGGAGGGTGCAGTCAAGCTGAATAAGCTGTCAGACCAGACTATACCAGACATGATGAGAAGGCATCCTGACCATGGGATCCACAGGAGCAGACAATGCTCCTCAGAGGAGTCTGACAGACAAATCTGGGACAAAATCTATACATATTAATGAAGAAACAAAGGCCTTCAAGCCAGGGCATTCTCTGAAGAGAGCAAACAAAGAATCTGAGGTCAGTGAGCTTTACTGTATTTTCAAAGTTCTCAGCACAGACCACAATTGTTCTTCCTATTTTCTGCAATTTCCAATTTCAGTATGTAATTTCTCAAGCACGCTTTGGATGAGAGGAGGAGTAGTGCAAGCTGGGCACATGAGACACACATCACCAAATCATTCAATATTGAAACTGCTATGGTAAACCATATTTCCCTTCAGAGAGAAATCAGGTAAAAAAAATAGAAATGCTGTGTACTGCAAGAGTCACCAGTATGACTTTTGAGATGTTATTTTCATTATCTGATGTTGCTGTTGGTTTGTTTGTTGGTTTGTTTGGGCTTTTTTTAAATTATTCTTCAGGTTCTATACATTTTAGAAAAGGGAGTAATCAGTGCTATGAAGGCCCCAGTATTTCATCACCTGCCTGGAAAGTTTTCTCTTCCTACAGAGAAACACAGGGAGACAGAGGTCAGAATACCTGATTCTGCCTTACCCAGGGCACTACTTACAGCAAAACTAATACTGAGTGGCTGGAAACTCACGAGTTAAACATACTGAGGATAATATCCCAGTGCATGTCTCTTCAAATATGTCCATTCTTTGCCCAGACCAACCCCTTTTTTAGCCAGATAGGCCACTGAAAATGCTGGAACATGTTCAACCCCAAGGACTCTGAACTGTGAAAAGTTTATTAGCATCAAGAACTGTAGCCCCAGCAATGTCCCAGGGAAGGAGTCATTCCACAAGAGCAGAATCACTGTAAGCATTCATACTAATCTGTGGGTTCCAGTTTCCTCTCAAGCAGCATGAGATATAATAAGAGACTGTTAAGTGTTGTAAGGCAGGAAAGGAATAACAAACACTGTGGGCTGGCTAAAGGCAGGAGAACCAGGAAAGCTGTGTTACTGGCTTGACCATCATGGGAAATCATGGGGACAAGCTTTCAAAAACAAAAAGCAAGCTTTCACTTTGATGAGTTGCTACACAGCTAGGGATTGGCACCTTTGCTGAAAACCACAGCACTGGCATTTGCTGAAACCAGGATCCAGTGACCAACTCCTTGTCAGTTCCCTTGTGTTAACACTCCTCACACACCACCCTTGCTACCATGAAAATCAGAAAGGAATCTCCCCTCGTCTGCCAAGAATATAGACCTTGCATGATGGACAGAGGACAGTATTGAGATGGGCAAGGGTTCCCTTCCAGTATATACTCTGCCAAAGGCAAAACAGGCTGTTGAGCAGATATCAGCCTTCTCTTGTGCAACGATTCTGCATCTCTGGTAGGTTTGGTAATTACAACGAAGTACAAGCCAAGAAACAGTTCAAGGGAAAGAGCTTCAGTTCAGCGATGCTCAGAATAAAATTTTCTGTATCTTTTGAAAGAGTGAAAAAATTAGCACACAAAATTCTACCTTATTTGTAATTTCTTGATTGCTCGGATCCTTTGGCTCCTCTGGAATTGTCACAAGGAACTTAGAGACATCTACAACCTCAAAATGAGTTGGAAGTCTTCCAATGGATGGTACAAATGTGAAGGTCAAAGGTTTGGTTCCAGATTCTTGAGAAGTGACCTACAAAACACAAAATTTGTTCAACTTCTTAGTCCAAATAAAATTATTTTGGTCAGAGTTGAAACAGTATTAATTACTTCATCTACACAACTTACAAGTCTCATTAACTATACTGGTTATTGGTTTTTTTAACAGGTCATTCTATATTAAGATCTTCTTTAACAGACAAAATACTGCCTTGATTATACCCATCATCACCCTATATATTCTAATGGCATGGCACAGTAGACAGGAGAAAATTCATTCAACAATTTGTTATTCTTTCAATTTTCCATACCAGAAACAGAAAACCATATTCAATTCATTTCAAGGCTGCTTTTATTTTTGTTTAACTCCACTTTAGTAGCACAACAATGTAATTACACCACTGTATCTGAACATCTAGAATATTTGCTTCATAACTTACAGCAGATTGGAATAACCTTTGGTCTGCAAAAAGAAAACAAAATGTGTTTCTATTTTCTAATGCAAATGCAGCTAATTCTGAACAACATCTGTAATGAATTCTGATTCAAGGAAAGGATTTTCTCCCCTTTTCTTTGGACCATTCAGCCACATATACTAAACAATTCTGTGTCTGTCTTCTCATTTCTCCCTCCCTACCTTGCATTGTCACTAGGACCGTGTATGTAGGGCCTGAATGCACTGAAAAGAAGAGAGATAAGTGAAGGCAATTTCACCTAAATGTTCAATTTTATAACAGTGCTCTCACATCACTTTCATCCTCTTTGCAGGAGGCAGTGGACAGGAAAAAGAAGTCCACACTATGTGTGGTGGGTTGACCCCAGCTGGATGCCAGATGCCCACCAAAGCCCACTCTATCACCCCCCTCCTCAGCAGGATGGGGAAGGGAGAAAATAAGATGGAACAAAAAAAAAAAAAACCAGACTCATGGGTCAAGACAAAGACGGTTTAATAGAAGCGTGGGCAGAAACAAAAGAACAAAATATTTATTCTTTGCTTCCCATCAGCAGGCGATGTTTGGCCACTTCCCGGGAAGCAGAGCTTCATACGCATTGCAGTTCCTGGGGGGACAATTGGAAGTAACGAATGCCCCCCCTTCCCCTTCCGTTCTCCTTGCTTTTATTTCTGAGCATACGTCATATGGTATGGAATATCCCTTTGGTCCGTTTGGGTCAGCTGTCCTGGCTGTGTCCCCTCCCAAGACCTTCCTCACCCCAGCCTACTGGGCAGAAAGTTGGGGAGACAGGCTTGATGCTGTGCTACCACTGCTCAGCAGTAACCAAAACACTGGAGTGTTATCAACACCCCTCGAGCCACCACTACAAAACGCAGCACACCGAGGGCTGCCACGGGGAAAATCAACTCCAGCCCAGACAGACCCAATACACTATGGTAAAACTCTTATGTTACTTTGACATATATCACAGAGAGGAACTCCAAAGGCCTTGTCCAGGATGGAATAAATGGAACTACATCACAAATCAATGCTGACTTTCCCACTACTTGTTGATGTAGAAAACCCTTCTTTCTGATTCAGAACTATGGAATGTATAGATTTTCCTTTGTTTTATTGCCTGATTTAAAGCTTATGACAGTTAATTTTGTTTTCAATGAACTCTAATGTGCAGAAGCTTGAACTGTATTGAATCATAGAGAAAACCAGGACCATTGCTTTGACCCTTCTTTTTGGCTTACTTTTTTAAAGTGAAACAAATTAGAGACCTATGGTTTTCATTATGTTTCTCTGTAATTTTCATCCATAAGTAAATAGCAATTACGGAACAGAGTGGGATTAGAGAATACATTCACATGACTTGTTCTTCTTGTGGCTAGAACATTAAAAATGATAGACACAGATTTCCAGTTCTTAAAAAATTGAAGCAAATATTAGTTACTTCCACTGACAGCTGTCTCCTAGAAGGTTTGAGCAAAACAGAGGCAGGTTATTTATACAAACACTGCCAGCTGCTGCTTTCTGTACAACTTAGGAGAATTCTGCTCTCTCAGACACACCCAGAATAAATTTCCATGTGCTCACCTCTAATTCTGAAAGAATAAGGTGTTTTGATGTTTGAAACTGAAAAATCTGAATAAAAGGCAAGCATCTTGGTTCTGAAATCGGGCCTATATATTCACAAACTCACACGAGTAGGTTACATTACACTGCAGGCTTACTACCCAGCTAAAGATGTGCACTGCAAGGGTGCAGGAACAAGGTGGTCTCATACTTTTCCCCTCTCTAAGGGACCAAACATCGGAGCACAGGATGCATGGCCTGAATCAGTAGCAAAAGAATGGCTGCTAACCACTCCACCACGCCAGGAGCTCTGGATGTTGTCTTGTGTAAGGGAGAAAAAACATTGTTCTCTCCTTCTCCCAGCAGCTAAAGGTAGCCAAGTCTGATATTGCTCTTCATAAAGCAGCAACACAATTTTAAAATATTAGTAGCTGGCATTTTAAACACTTAGTCCTTGCTCCCGATACAAATCATCGGGGTAACATCAGTATTCAAGGACATACTCATTAGCAAGCAGCCATCAGTCCTTACAATGCATCCAGGGATGCAGCTTCCACCTAGCACCTGCTGACCCCAAAGGCGCTCTTCGAGAAGCAGGATTACCTGCACACAGGTAATCCAAATACCATGTTGGTATTTGTGATTTCTGTACAGCTGACACTGTCCACTAAAGTCTTACACAGCACCTGAGTCTCCACCGAAATCAGCTACAGATGGCCTTTGCTTTCCTACAGGTCTGTGGTTGTGCTTTCATCTTCTCTCTCTAGTTAGGAAATGCAGTTAATGACTCTGGCTACCTCAGTTGTCTTTACTAAACACTTTTCCCCTCTAACTCACCCTCTTGCCATGCTCTCGTTCGACACTTGACATCAGTTGTTTAGTATCAAAGAGTATTCTTTTGTTAGAGCACAAAATATTCCTCATAAGAGAAAAAGGAAGAGAGAAAGAGGAAGTATGCAAATAGCAAGCCCCCACACAAAGAGATTAATTCTAATCAAATGTGCTAGCATTGCTGAACTCCCAGTACTTCATATGAGTATTTGTAATGAGGAAAGACAAACAAAAAGCCAAGTTATGAGGCTCCAGACCATCGCATAGTAATAGGGAGATCTTGCCAGCACCTCATTCTGTACTGTGTCTTACCCTGTACTTCCAATTTTATTGCTTTGGTGGAAAAATGAAAGAATACCCGAAGAAAACCTTGCTGTATTTGGCCTAAACTTATTGTGGAAATAACCATCAAAATTGATTGCAAGCTAAAACTAAGATTGGAAAACACATGTAAAGATGTGCAAGCTAGAATATTTTTTTTACAGGTGACAGATGCCATCAAAGCATGGTATTATTTATATTCCCCTAATGTATATTATTTTTCCTGGAGTGCAGAAAGTATAAACCAGCAAATAGAATTTCTATATTTTAGAAGGTTTTAAGTTGTCAGATACTGTGTGAGGCAGTGTGGAGGAATGCGCTCCACTTCTTAGGTTCACTCATGGGGAGTGGGAAACAGGAAGCTCTAGCAGGTAAAACTGGTCATGCAATCTAGGCTGCATCACAGAAACTGAGACAATGAGCAAATATCAGAAGGGTGATCAGAAAACACAAACGTTTCCACTAGGGAAAACAAAAGAGAAAAAACTTTTGTTTAAAAATATCTTTTAAGTGGTTGTTTTCATTTTACAGAGTTCAAAAAATACATAAAAATATTTTGACATTTTAAAATTTAAATTTTAATTTAACAATGTGAAGCAGAGAGAACCATTGCATACTTTTCTCCTTTTTTTTTTTTTAAAGTAGAATGAAAGGATTTTTGCACCTTTTTTCATATACTGATATCATTTATTATATGTCTGGCTGATGTTTCTATCCTTGAAGAACTGAAAGAAATTAACAGGGTGGAGTTTCAGCTTTTAATTACATCTATTAAAAGCCACTCTGACATGTAGAGGGAAATAACAGAGAAAAAATCTTAAAATTCAAATATATAAATATATATTAAATTTTCCTGCACATTATAATATTTTCTCTAGACTCAATAGTAACAGCAAAAGGAATTCAATGCCATACATTCCCTGTTGCTGTAATTCAGTTGGACTGATAGAGTTAACGGTGGCAGAAAAATACCATATGCGACATCTATTCAAGTTAATACTAATGAATTCTGGTTTATATTATATAATCAACTTTACGCACAATTAAATAATTTATTGCTTCTAATTGCATCTTTTCATGTTGCTTAACTCTTTGAAGAATGTAAATTATAGACTTTAATATAAATAACCTTTGAATACCCACCGGGGGCTATACACTGTTGTACAATACACTGCCTAATAGCTTCAAAAGGAGAAACTTATTCTAGATTACTTCCATGACTTCCAATGTCATCAATTTACAAACAAGTTTGTTGCATAATTAATACATCAATTTACAACTGCCCTGGGGACAGTAACTTAAATTATATTAATTATTGTTTTCATTAACACAGCTTCTACAGTCCTTACTTGTAGAGCACACTTTTATTGTCTCGGTTACCTTACAAAGACAAATGAACATTTCTATTTAATCCCTCGGATGCTCTATATGCATTCAGCATACTGCCTATTTTGTAATTGAAATTGAGGTTCCATTGTCAGTGATTGCATTCCAGGATTTCCTTCTGAAATACAGATTGATAAAGTGGAATTGAATATGCTGGTTTACATTACCATTTCTTCCACTGATTTGCTAATGCAAGTCATTAAGCTAATAAAATGACACCCTGAGAAAACCTCACTCCTGAAATATCAAGTACTTCTGTTTGAGGCTGTGTATTTATTTGTTTAAAGGACTGAAATATATTAAATATATGCATAAATACTTATATAATTTTTACATATTTAAATATATGCATAAAAATTATTAAAAATATGCATAAATAATAGCAAAATAACAAGCATGTGGATCACAACATGGAAACATGTTGACTAACATGGTGCTTCAGCCAGAGCATAAATTCACATACCCACTATTCCTGTGTGAT